GATTGGATTTGACAGTACACGCAAAAAAAGTTATACAATAAAAATTAAGAAAAAAAATTGGGACTTTTTTAATGCTTCCATTCCATCCTGTATCACAGTCTCATTTTTGAAGTATCACATTTTCTCATGATTATCAAACTCAAGCCACAGCAGAACTCACTTCTGAGCTCCTTTCCATGTTCTTCAGCTAAAAAGTCAAATCTGATTCCTTTAACATTAAATGTTGGAAAGCTGCCAGTGTTTGGACTAGAAATTTGGCTTCATTTTACTTTAACAGAAATTTCTTGGTTAGATTGTTACTAGCTTCATATTCATATTAAAAGTGCTGTACTTAGTAACTGCTGTAATGACAGTTGGTATGTGTACCACTGCATCAGAGCCAATGCACAGGTGATACTCCAGCAGGTTTTGAGAAACTGTAGCTCATTCAGAAAACTGCCTACCTTTCTTCTGTGGAAGAACTGGTGGATTCGAACTGTGAACTTTTGCAGTATAATTCCTACAATGTGACTGGGGCTCTGGTGGTATAAACAATAGCATGTTGTGCTGCTAACCAAAAGGCTCCCTGGGTTTAAGTCACAAATTACTCAATGGCTGTGAGGGTTTTTTCCCCAAAGCTCTTAAATTCAAGCATTATAAAGTTGACAACAAATCTCAATATTTCATCTAATAGAATTCTTCCCGGGCCCCCCCCCTTGTTGTGTACTGTCAAAATGAATCCAACTGACACAGGAGGAGACTGCTCCTCCCTCTCCAACAGAGCATCTGCTAGATTTAACTGTGAGTCTTCAGGATTGAAGTACAGGGGTTTTGCCACTAGGCCACCAGAGCTCCTTTAAAATCGTATTCTTCTTTAAATGTGTGTGTGTGCGTGTGTGCGTGTGTGCGTGTGTGCGCGCGCGCGCCATCAAATTGGATCAGAGTTTGTCCCTCCTTCACCAGCAGAGCATCTGGTGAATTCAACCCGCTCACGTCTGGGATTGCAATGCAGCTTCTTGCCACTAGGCCACCAGAGCTCACCTAAAATAGGATTCTTAAGGATAAATATCATAGTCCCAAGTCCTTTTCCTGATCTCTGGAAATGCTGATTTTTTTCATTGGTATATTGATCTGCTGTAATGACACCATATATGCTTCCAACATAGGCTCCTGGAATACGGAGTGCTTTCCTTCTTCCTAACATATCTTTTTCTACTTGAAATGTCAGAAAATGTGTTCTTCTTCTTGGAGGAATCAATTTAAGACTACAGAAATTGCTCTCCTGGCACTGGGACTGGCACTTCGCCCATGATAATGGCTGAAAGAAGCTGGACCCTAAAAGCCCAGTATTCTAAGGCTGCCTGGCCCCAGTGGGCCCCTGGCAGACAGTAGAAGCCAGAGCAGGAAGTTCACTGAAGCTCCAAGCCAAGAACTTAAGGCCGAAAAGCTCCCTGAAATGCAAAGTACCTGTCTGTACCTCAGGTATTCTCATGATTTTTTTAAAGGAAACCAAAAAATAACTGCAAATCACAAAGTAAACTAATTTTCTGCTAGTTTGAAAACTAACACGAAGACCTTATGGTTAAAACAGCCTTAGTGTAAGACAAAATAGAAGCCCAAAATTACTAAAGTATGGTTCCTGAATAGGTAAAGTGGAAGACATGTGTACTCTGATATTTATCTATAAATCAACAAAATAAACACATTTCCCCAAAATTTTATTCATCTCTGCCCTCACTCAGATCTACTTAGTTCATCAGGCCTCCATCTAGCTGCCTACTGACATTTCTACTTGTATACCCCACAATGAACTTGATTTCAACTGAGCAGACTACTTCCTTTCTCTTTCTATGCCCACTCCAATAAGGAAACCCTCATCCATCAATCTTTCAACATTATAACTTAATAAGACTTACCATACTTCTTTTTTTCACTAAATCTTGTTATATCTGTCAAAGAATTCTCCTTTCCTTGCTCCAACTGCCACATTTACCAACAACCCTAATTAATGCTATTACATCATTTTTCATTCCTTTAAGCTGTTCTTACTTTTAAGCCCCAACAGTGAATAGTGCTGGTCCTCGGGCTTCAGGACCATAATCTCAGAGGCACTGTACAGTCCACAAAGACTATGTTCTACATTCTACTTTGATGTGCAGCAACTGGGGTCTTTAAAGCTTGTGATAAGCCATGTAAGGTTCAACTATTGGTATCTACTGCTCTGGAACAAAGACGAGTGATGAAAATTAAAGACGCATAGGAACAATTAGTTTACAGGACTAATAAAACACACAAACTTCAACCTTCACAACCCTGAGACTAGAAGAACTAGTACTAGCACTACTAGTACTACTAGTACTACTACTACTGCTGTCTAGTCTAAAAGGGATTACAGCAGAAGGTCCTGGACAAAGTGAGAGAAAAATGTGAAACACAACTCCAAAATCATAAAAACAGTCATATCTGCTAGACTGATGAGAGAATGGTGAAACCACTGAGATAATGGCCCTTAGTTATTATTCAAATCTACAACTCATCCATGTGACACAATTTCAAATTGACCTATTACAACCAGTAACACCAGGTAAGTACTTGTTCCTAAGCACAATCAACCATACAAGACCAAAAGGGCAGCACCGCCCAGAGAGAACACTCAGAAGGCAAGAAGAGATAGGATAGTAGGCTGAATGGAAAGAAGAATCAAGAGAGGAAGTGGGAAGAGTTATTACATAATAGCCATTATAACTGGTATCATAAAACAAAATGTGCATGCACACTCATGTTTATCACAGCTTTGTTCCAGTAGCAAGGAGTTGGAAACAACCTAAATGTCCATCAACAAATAGAGAAGCTCTGATATAGTCACACAATGGAATACTACGCTGCATTGAAAAACAAGGAGCTCATGCAATATTATTCAAAATGGGTGACCCTGGAAGACATTATGGTGAGTGAAATATCTCAGTCACAAAAGGACAAATACTGCATAGTGCCACTGTTGTAAAACAGGACTGACATTGGGGTTGAGGTGGGACTGAGAAAGATGGGTTAAATAATGTATACTGTATTGAAACAAATAAGAGAGAAAACTGATTAAAAGGGCTATGTGATTAGGTATTATTGTCATGACAGGAGTCCAGAAAGAAGGCTGCATAGTGGAGTGGACCTGGCAGGGAGGGATTGTAAAACAATGGGAGAACTTTTCTTTTACTTTTCAAAGAGAAGAGTGTACTGAGGGGGAGAGGTGGGCAGGAAGAAAAGTGCAACAATTAATGAATGGAAATCCAAAGTCTCTGTAAATTTTCATTAAAATTAATTTAAAAAATTAATTGAAAAAAAAATGTGCATGAAAACCCAATTTCCTCCATAGATATGCACTCAAATTACAATAAAAATTTAGAGGGAAGAGGAAGCTCCAAAGACTCTCCACTTCCATCGCCTCATTTCTGGGACATTTCACCACCATCCATCTTACTGTAGACACATTCACAGCACTCAAGGTGCTCCTCCTTCCAAACCTCCCTGATATTTAACTACATCTTTACATTGTTATTTCTAATGGGAATTAATTAATTACTTGTGCCAGCTCCTACTCATCCTTCAACACACAAGTTATCTTCTTCCTGTGACTAATCTCTGACTCTCCCAGGCAATGGCCCTTTCTGCAGTACTCCCTTCACTATGTCAATTTCTTTGTCAAAGTATGGAACACAGAGCACTATACAATTTCATCTTAGTATGTCTCTGTGATACCCCGGAGAAGTATTCATACTCTAACCCACAACAGTTACATAATAAGTTCTCAGTAAGTGTGTGTATGTTTATTAATGTGTGTTTACACTATATAACCTGGATTACTTTGTTCTTTGGCCACTTTCCTCAAAGTTCATGGATTCCTGAACTAGATCCCATGTGAAATTTCAACCTTCCCCACAAGTGCTTTGGGAATTTCAAGATTTATTTTTTATATAAATGTAGGACAAGTCAACGAGCTATAAATGTTGGAAATTCTACTAAAATGTCAAGCAAAGAATGAAAACGTGCCCTTTGCAATTCCAACAAAAGGAATCCACCTGCAGAACTGATATTCCCAGAGCCTTCACAGAGGAACTGTGCACACAAAGCCAACGGGTGACACACCCAAAACAATACCAATTAACCGGTGTTGTATTAAGGGCAGTGTCACAGTTTCAAAGTCTCTGAGAGCATGGAAACCTACGCTCAAAACCTTTTCAGGAAGAAGTGAGATGGTCTAGCAACCTTAGTCTCTACTTCCCTCCTCCCAGGAAGCTGCATTCCTGGGCTCCTGACAGCTCTCCTCCCCAGGGAGCCACTTTTGTCTCCCCGTTTCCGTCCAGAACGGCCCAAGGAAGGATTCCTTTGCCTAGAACCCCGAGAAAACATGGCAGTTCATTTGAATCTGTGTGAAGGTGAGTGGAGGACCGGTGGTCACACACTGAGAAGCAGGTGAAGGTGGGGACCCTTCGGGGCACCAGAAGACCTCGGGCGCGCCGGGCTTCCTCTAGATCTCCTTTCAAGTCTTGCTTCATGCTCTCATTCTAAGGCCAGGCGAGGTGGAGGGCCGCCAGGGACCACAGCAACTTGGCAGAAGTGGCAACTGAAGAAGTCGGGGTCAACCCGTGCTGGGGTCAAATGTCACAGCTTCAGAGTGATGCGGGCCCGGCAGGATCCGGGTGCGCGAGGGGCCAGATCGGCACCAGGTGTTCAAAGGGATGGCCGCTGAGCGGAGCGGGAAGGCTCACCCCGGGTCAACCCTCCCGGCCGCAACCAGCCTTGTCCCGCCTCAGCTGCCGTCCCCACCCACCCCCCAACACACACACACACACACACACACACACACACACACACACACACCCCCGGTCACCCCTGTCCTCCTTTCGGCAAGCGCAGGCCCCGCCCCCAGGCCGCCCCACGGAGTCTCCTCCGGGCAAGGGCCTAGTACGGCAGAATCCACAGGAAGTGGCCAGATTCCGGGACCGGCTCGGGGCAGCGCCGCTTACCGAGCCCCCGGTTTCTCCTCCACCCGCGCCGCTCTCGGGGCCGCTCGCTCCCGACGCCACCGACGCCGCGGCTCCTCCGGGCTCACAGGCGCGCTCCCGACCTCCCTCGACCTCGGGCCGCCGCCGTGCCCCTCTGGGTCCTAAAGCCCTCTAATGTTACCAGCTTCCTGGAAACTCACTCGGACCACAATTCCCAGCAAGCATCACAAGAACGACACCCTCTTGAAAGGCATCGCGAGACGAGAATTGACAAATACCACATCTCTTTTTTTTTAACAGACAAAAAATGTTAAGATTTTATTTACAAAGCTTTGTTATGCAGAAAGTGAAAATGTTGTTACAATCTCTTTAACACTTTGGAGATGTCTCTGACAGCACACTTTTCCAATGCAATTTGTCTTATAATTTCCTGACTGTTGGTTCCTAGAGTATTGATTGTAGAGCTAAACAAGCTGAAATTGTTAACAACCTCAATCTCTATTATGGTGCTGCCAGTTGACCCAGTGGTGAGAATATTTGCCTTCTTGATGTTGAGCTTCAAAACATATTGAAGACTACAGTCCTTGACCTTCTGTAGCAAACACTTCAGGTCCTCCTTAGTTCAAGCAAGCAAGGTTGTATCATTTGCATAATGCAAGTCTTCCTCCAATCCTGATGCCACATTCTTCCTCATAAAGTCCAGCTTCCCAAATGATCTGTTCTGCATACAGATTGAAAAGGTATGGGGACGGGATGTACCCCTTTCCTGATTTTGAACCATGCAGTGTTTCCTTGCTCTGTTCCAAAGACTGCCTCCTAGTTAAAGTTTGTGTTTTAAACCTATATTTGGAGCCATAGGTAAGACAGTTAGACAAACATTCTTTATTTTTTTATTATTATTATTATGAATTTTAATGAAAGTTTACAGAAACTGAGGATTTCCATTCATTCATTGTTGCACTTTTCTGACAAACATATTTTGAGGTGGACCCCTTGAGCACCCATCTGAAACTGCCTGTTCAATTTTATTGGTTCTGGTCTTTACTTGATTTAATTTTACCACACCTTTTTTTAACTCCTACTTAATATTGAATCCTGGAAGTAGTAACGAGAAAAAACAAACTACAATTCCAAGATTATATTGTAACAAAGTGATAGATATAAACCAGTAAGTGTTTTAAAATATTGTACAGTGAATTATCAGAAATATTGCACTGGGAAAGTCTGTAGTTAGGGACCTCTCCAGATTATTGAGGAGAAATTATGTCAGTTTGAGGACTAAAGTGCGTCTGATTCAGACCATAGTCTTTTCAGTCACTTGCTCTGCTGCGGAGAGCTGGACAATGACTAAAGATGAAAGAAGAATTAATGTTGTTGAACTGTGATGTTAGAGAAGAATGTGGACTTTCCCATGGACTGCCAAAAGAAAAAAAAAAACAGGTATGTCTTGCAGAAAGTACATCTCCTTGGAGGCAATGACAATAAAGCTTCACCTCACATACTTTGGACATGTTGCTAGGAGAGGTTATTTCCTGGAGAGAGATGTCATGTTTGAAAGGAAGAGGAGTGGCAAGAGAGAAGACCCTCAACCAGATGGATTGACGCAGTGACTAAGGCAATGAGCTTGAGTGTGTTGGGGTAGGACAGTGTTCAGATGAGTCGTTCAGCCGGTCGCTATGAATCAGCAACAACAGTGAATTATTACAGGGAAGCCTGGATATCCTCAAATTGTAAATACTCTAAAAATTCTGAGAAAATTCCTCATCATTTTCAAAGGCTTTCCAGAGGGAAGAGGAAGAGAAAGGGGTAGGGAGAAGTAGGAGGGAATGAAGATGAAGCAACACAACACTGACACATCTAATTGGAGCATAAAGCCAATACAAATACAAACTAGAATATATTTAGAAGACCATGTGCTGAGAAGGTAAGCGCAAGACCTCTGGAAACCGGTGAAGAGTATCGAGTGTCACATCGATTGCCAAAAGAACAAATTGTCTCGGAGAAAGTGCAACCAGAGTGATCCTTAGAAGCAAGGATGGTGAAATTTCAACTCACATGCTTTGGGTATGTTTTCAGGAGGGGCCAATCTTTGGAAAAAAGACCTCATGCTGGGAAAGATTGAGAGAAAGACAGGAAGACTCTCAGCAAGATAGACTGACACAATGACTTTAACAATGGACTTGAGTGGAGTTTGTATTCTTTTTTTTTTGGGGGGGGGTGTACCGTCAAATCAGATCTGACTGATGCAAGAGGAGATTGACCCTCCTTCTCTAGCGGAGCATCTGGTGGATTTGAACCGAGTACTTCTGGGATTACAGTGCAGTTTCTTGCCACTAGGCCACTAGAACTCCCGTAACAATGGACTTGAGCATGTTGGAGATCATGAGGATGGTACAGAACAGGGCAAGTTCAGGTCTGTCCACAAAGTCACTATGGGTTGAGAGTGACTCAAAGGCACAAAAAGGTATCGTTGTGGACAATTATTTGCACTTTCAAAGTCCTACGGTTTTAGTTGTACATCATCAAACTCTTCCTCTTCTATGTAGTCTTTGGTTTCAATCTTGATGAAAATTTTTCCCTAAGTAATCAGTATGAGTGAGGACATGTGACCTGGGGTAGGCCATTCAGATGCAAGGTTTCATAAAAAGGCTTTGGCTCTTCATTACCAGATGCAGAGATGAAAAGTCAGAATTCACTCATAGCACAAGTTCTGTGACCTCTATCTAGCACAAGTTGTGTGGCACCAAAAACAATAATAAACTGACTGAATTATTTCTGCTGAAAAATAGTTGTACTTTCTATGTCTTGGTCTTTAGAATGTGCCATGGCTCCTGCTCATTTTCCAAACCAGGAGCTCCAATCTTCTGCAGGTTCTATGAGCTTCTTACAGTCTTCTCATCAATTTCACTTTTGTTTAAGATAGTCATGGTCAATTTCTGACACTCAGTTACCCAAATATTCACACATAGAAACATATGCCCATTTAAGTTTACTCATCTCTTTCCCAGACATGAATTAAGACTGTTCTTTATGTCAGGTTTGAACAGGAAGATGTTAGGATTTGTCGAAATTGAGATGTATATAAAATATCAAGGCATAAATATTTCCTAAACATTTGAATATTCTTTATGGGAATTCACCAAGGCATCTTAGTTGTAGAAAAAGCTTTTAGAGGTACTGACTTAGAGGTCAAGGGAGAGGAAATAAAATTTTAAAAAAGAAAAAAGGTCCAGGGCAGAATTCTGGATATAGAAGAGAAAGCACTGCCATTTTTTTAAAGGATGGCAAAAGAAGATGAGCTAATAGGAAACTAAGCTCTGAAGATAGTAACAAAAAAGTCCACTGCCTTCCAGTCAGTGATTCAGACTCATTGAGATATTCCACTTGGGCTTCCAAAACTGTAGATAATTTTTATTCCCTTTGCTTTTATTTCCATATTTTTTAATTGTGGGGTTCCCCCCCATTTTCTTTTATTGTAACTTGAGGGAAAGTCTAAAAATCATATTGGTTGATCATTCAATCATTCATGCACATTATGTTTTATAACATTATTAAGGGAAGCCAATACTAAATATGTGTAATAAACCAAAGCTATTTCAGGATGTGGGGGAGGGTGGTTCAAGCTGGAGATCACCCTGAGGCACTAAAGCAATCCTCAAAGATTTACCTGATTCTTGCTTTGCATTTGCTGACCCTTCCCCTCCAGAGTCAAGGGAAGGTTTTAAATAGAAAGAACTTGGCTTCATTTGCATTGAATTATCTTTGTGATTTATTTCCTGATAATTTTCAAAAAAGAATACAGGGAAGCTGAAAGGGGCCATTCAGTTGTAGGAACTGCTGGCCCCCTGTCTTTTATGCTTTCTGTTTTCTCATTCCTGGTTGTCTGTCTTATTATTAATAATTATAAAAATACTTTACCCTCGGTCTGCAACACGTTATGATTAATTTATGTGATTAATTAGGGAGCTCTGGTGGCCTAGTGGTCAGGAGATGCACTGCTATCCCAAAAACATAGTTGAAATCCACCAGCTGCTCCATGGGACAAAGATAGGCAATCTCCTCCCACAGGATTTACTGCATCTAAAAACCCACTAGAAGGTCATCTCTGAGTTGGTTCTGACACAACAGTACACAACAACAATATAATTAATTACAAAGTCTGATCAACTTCTTAATATAGATAGCCTTTCCCTTCACTCAACTTAATGCATCTAGTATCTATTTATTTATTTTTCCTCCCCTCTCCCTCATCTCCCATCTCTGGTAACCACAGAAACTAGATTTTCAGAGGAAGAGACTACCCTTCTTTCTTCCAGAGAGCAACTGGTAGATTTGAACTGCCAACTTTTCAATAAGCACTCTAGTGCTGTTACACACTATGCCACTAAAAGTCAGAAAGAAAGGATGAAAGGAAAAATATGCCATGGAAATCACAAGAGGTACTTGACAGAAAAATTGGTTCCTTTAAGTTGTGGTGCTGGAGAAGAATATTGAGCATACATACCAAGGATTATCTGATTTAAGGGATGTGTCCTGTCTCCATACAATTTTAATCTATATGTGGAACATATAGGTCATTTGGGAGGCTGGATTTTATAAGGAGGAATGTGGCATCAGAATTGGAGGAAGATTCATCAATAACCTGCATTATACAGATGACATAACATTGCTTGCCGAAACTGAAGAGGACCTGAAAGCATTTGCTGCAGAAGGTCTAAGACTGCAGTCTTCAATATGGTTTGAAGTATAACATTAAAAAATAAAGATTCTCACCACTAGGCCAATTGGCAGCACCACCATAGTTAGAGATTGAGGTTATTAACAATTTCAGCTTGCTTATCTCTAGAATCAACATTCTTGGCATCAGCATTCGGGAAATCAAAAGATTAATTGCAGTGGGGAAATCCGCAGTCAGAGACTTCTCCAAAGTGCTAAAGAACAGCAAAGATGTCAGTCTAGAGACTAAGCTGCACCTGATCCAGGCCATGGTCTTCCAGATGCTTGCTATGCATCAGAAAGATGGACAGTGACCAAGAATGACAGAAGAATTGATGCCTTCAAATTGTGGTGCTGGAGAAGAGTCTTACACATACTGTAGACTGACAAGAAAACAAATAGGACTGTCTTGGAGCAAGTGAAACCAGTTTCTCCTTTGAGGCAAGGATTTTGAAGCTCTGTCTCACATACTTTGGGCATGTGGACAGGAGGGACCAGTCCTTGGAGGACATCATGCTTGGAAGGGTGTTGTAACAGCTCAGAATAGGACAGGGTTCAGAGCTGCTGTATGTGGGGTCACTATGAGTCACAGGTGACTCAAAAGCACATAGTAACAACAGCCATGGATTACCAAGAGAACAGGCAGGTTTCTCCTCAAGAGAGAGTGAAACCAGGCTGCTCCTTGGAGGCAAGGCTTTTGAAGTTCCTCTTACATACTTTGGCCAGGAGGGACCAGTCCCTAGAGAAGGACATCATGATTAGAAGAATGGATGGACAGCTCAGTAGAGGAAGACCCCAAGGAGCAGATGAGATGGACTAACACTGTAACTGGGGCAATAGGAGTAGGTGTGTCAGAAACAGTGAGAATGGCTCAGGATAGAGCAGAGCGACTCAGTGGTACATATAGACAATAACAACTTCAAAATGTCTGAAAGAGAAAAGGAAATAAAAATATCTTTGAAGACCTCAGATAGCAAAGCTATTTCAGTGATGTAATAATTTGAGGAAAGAAAAGTGGAGAGAGCAAATGTAGATCTTGGAAGAAACTGTGAAAAGAAAGGGAGAGTAATAAGGAATGGTGGTGAGCATGAAAATGTGAGTTCTGGGACAGATCAAACTAGCTGTTGTTTCTACACTGAGAACAGGAGGTTAATGAAACAGAAGTAGATATTCTTGGGGAAGATAGGAGGGTAAGGTGGGTGTTTCGTGAAGAACAGTCTTAGAAATAGGAGTAACATATCTTTATCACCTGAAAAGGCAGCCAAAGTGTGGGAGAGCCCCTTCATATAAATTTATAGATATTGCTGGGGAGATTTTATAGACTCAGTGTCTATAATTTTAATTTTGCTTACTAATAAATTATTGGAATTGATGATATCGTTTGATGCACCGGCTTTGGGAGCCAGATTTCCTGCCTTTGGTATCCCATGTTTACCCCTCAATAACTGTGATCTTGATCAACTGATTTAATATCTCTGTGCCTCATTTTCCTCCTCTTTACAAGGAGTGGGATCGTCATACAGCAAGTGCTACTGGAGGGTAAGGCTATGTTTCTTTTTCCCGAGATTGTCATCTCCACGAAGTTGAGAAGTAGTTCACCACTGTCTACTCAGAGCCTGGCACATAGCAGGTGCTCAAGAAGAATGTCCGAATAAGTTGGGACTGAGAAAGCGAGGCTTGGAGGGAGAGAAAGATGCTAGGAGCGGGGTGGTCTCGGCATGGAGCTCACTAAAGGAGGGTATTTCCAGGCCCCAGTGCAGCTGGGGCGGGCGGGGCGGCGGGTCTGGGGGGAGCGTGCCCCGAGGCTCCTCCCGCCCGCAGCGTGCTCCTCCCCCGGCGGGTGGGAACCGGATCCCGAGCGAGTCCCGAGCTCGCCGAGCGGAGCGGGGCGGAGTCCGCTCCCCCGCCCGGCCTCGGCTCACCTCATCGACGGGGGACGGAAGTGTCCGCCTGCTCGCCGACCTCCGGTGGAGCCCTAGACCGAGAAGCCGGGCCGGGCGGCCGGTGCGGGTCACCATGAAGCGTGCGGCGACCCTGCGCCTGCTCTCCGACCTCGGCGACTTCAGCGGCGCCGCGCGGCTCCGGGAGCTGCTGGCGGCGGACCCGGCTCTCCGAGTCCGGTGCAGCGCGGACGGCCGCCACCTGCTGCTGTTGCGCCGCCCGGGCGCGCCTGCCCCGCAGCTGCTGGTTGCAGTGCGTGGGCCTGGCGCGGAGCTGGAGCGGGCCTGGCCGGCCGGCCACCCCCCGCCGCTGGACGCCTTCTTTCTCCCGTGGCCGGCGCGCCCGGCGCTCGTCCTGGTCTGGGAGAGTGGCCTGACCGAGGTGTGGAGCGCAGGGGTGGGGCCTGGCTGGCGGCTGCTGCAGAGCACCGAGCTGTGTCCGAGCGGTGACGCCCGCGTGGTGGCCGTGGCCGCGCCCCGAGGCCGCCTGGTATGGTGTGAGGAGCCGCAGGCGGGAGCAGAGGACCGTCCGGGGCCGCCCACCGCCCCTTTCAGCTGTCGCGTGTGCGTCAGGACCCTGGAGCCCAGCGGGGAAGCCGTGCCCACCCTCGGCCGCACCCACACCCTGCTGCACCATTGCCCCCCTTTTGGGCTGCTGGCCTCCCGCAGGGACCTCTTCCTGGTCCCCTCTGCCGCCCACTGGCCCGGCGTGGCCCACATCGTGCTCATCTGGAGCCCAGGCAAGGGCAGGGTGGTCGTGGCGGCCCCATGCCTTGGTCTCGCGCATAGTAAGAGCCTGAATCCCGGGCGAGGGGATACCTGGGACTTCAGGATCCTGCTGCGAGGCCTTCCTGGGCTGCTGTCCCCCAGGCAGCCATTGGCTGTCCACACTTGGACCCCAGCACCCCAGGGCCTGCTGTTCCTTGACTTCAGGGGCGCTGTGAGCCTCGTGCAGCCCCATGGCGGTGCCCGGCTGGTGGGAACCCTGCAGGAGGCACCTGTGGACCATCCGCAGGGCTCCGCTGCCCTGGGAACGTTCCATGGCACCCTGGCCTGTGTGCTGGGCTCCACTTTGGAGCTCCTGGACATGGGCAGTGGACAACTGCTGGAGAGGAAGGTCTTGAATACAAACAGCGTGCATCTGCTGGAGCCCCCAGCTCCTAGCCTGGAGGATGAGGAAGAGTTAGAAGCCCGAGGGGGACTTCGTCTGCTTTCTGCCATGGGTCTATTTCGAGTGGGCTGGGAAGCCCCACAGGGCCTTGAGCTGCCTTCGGCTGTGGACATGGTGTTTGAGGAGGCTTGTGGGTATTACCAGCGGAGGAGCCTGCGGGGTGCCCAGCTCACCCCAGAGGAACTGAGACATAACAGCACTTTCCGGGCGCCTCAGACTCTGGCTTCCATCCTCCAGGGCCACCTGCCCCCAGCTCCACTGTTGACCACACTGAGGGCGGAGCTGCGGGATTACCGGGGTTTGGAGCAGCTCAAAGCCCAGCTAGTGGCTGGGGATGAGGAGGAGCCTGGCTGGACCGAGCTGGCAGAGCACGAGGTGGCACGTCTGCTGAAGACGGAGTTGATGGGAGACCAGCTGGCCCAGCTTAACACCATTTTCCAAGTCTTTCCCACAGCTGCCTGGAGTGCTGTTCACAGGGCCCTACAGCTCCAACCAGACAGGGATGGTGGGCTGACGTCCCAGGCTCCCCCTGATGTGTGGAAGAAGGTGCTAGGGGGCACGGCAGTTGGAAAGGAGCCCCCCAATGGGGTACTGCCGCCCTTTGAACTCCTCTGCCAATGCCTATGCAAGCTGGACCCTCGGTGGCTGCCACCCTTTGTGCAGCTGGCACAGCAGCAGGGTGGGCCAGGCTGGGGGGCAGGGAGCCCAGGGCTGCCCCTCTATCGCCGAGCCCTGGCAGTGCTGGGTGAGGAAGGGGCCAGACCTGAGGCACTAGAGCTGGAGCTCCTCTTGAGCAGTGGCCGGCCCAAGGCTGTGCTCCAGGCCGTGGGGCAGCTGGTGCAGAAAGAACAGTGGCAGCGGGCTCTGGAGGCCGGCCTGGCCCTCAGCCCCTCCAGCCTCCTGCTTCGAAGTGAGATCTTCAAACTGCTGCTGGCAGAGTTTGCCCAGCACCGCAGGCTCGATACCCACTTTCCCCTCCTTTGCCGCCTGTGTCCGCCAGACCTGACTCCAGCTGAACTCCTGCATCTACTGCAGACACACCTGCCAGATGAGCCAGGGCCCCCATCCCCATTCCCCCAGCCAGGGGCGGAACCCACTCTCACTGTGGGCTTGCTCCGAGCCCTGCTGGAGCAGACTGGGGTTCAAGGACGGCCCTCCGGCCCCGTTTTAAGCCTTTATGAGGACATTCTATGGGATTCAAGCACTCCACCTCCCACCCCACCTCGGGGACCTATGACCACCCTTCAGGCACCAAGCCACCCAGGCTTCTGTGTGCCAGACTCAAGATGAAACTTGTTTCTAGGGCATCAGGGAAGGATGCCTTGGAGTTAGCTGGAGGGACCTGGGGTGGGACCTGTGTGTGCAATACTTTTTTCTTTTTTTTTCTGGAACAGTTTTAAATAAATAGCTGTTAAAGAGTTTGTGTGCTTTGACACAACTTGAGGGTATTAGAGGTTGTGGTTTAGAGAAGGGGTGTTTGATATGAAAATGTCAACTAAAGGGACCATTTCCAATAATAATGATAATTAACAGTTATGAACATTTACAGGATTGATCTTTGTATAATCCAAATGCTTACAATAATGCCACAGGAAAACTACTAATATTACTCCCATTTTATCAGCTTAGAAAGATTAAGTGACTCGACCAAGGTTAATAAATTAGAAAGGAGCAATTCTAGGCTTGTAACCTAAAATTCTGCCTTTACCACCTGACTGCTTAGCCTAGGAAATTTTGCCTACTTGAACTTAAATGCAGTTGTCTCATTCCAGGCTCAGTGTTAGGTTCTCCAGCATGCAGTCCCTTACCCTCCCTTTCCCAGAATTCTTTCGTTTCTTTTGTGATGGGCCCTGAGTCCATGCTTGTTTTCCCCAAGATTCCTGGAGCAGCCCCTGAGTTGAGAGACTTGCCACAGGCAGAACTGCCTACAGAGCTCTCTGGACTAGTAACAAGGGGATAGGGTTGTTTCTAGGATCCCACATTCCTGCTAACTACCTAAAACAAGAGTATCTGCATACAGATTGGTTCAACAAGACCAACGCTAGAGGCCTGAACTTGGGCCATTAGATCCAAGTGGCCTCTCAGCCTGGCTCTGAATTTGGGGTATGTGCTGGATGCTGCTATTCATCATCTTCCTAGGTTCCAGTTGTCACTCTGACTTGTTCAACAATAAGGACAAAGGTAAGAACTTCCTCTCAGCCTGTCCTCAGCTGAGACCTGTAGGTAGGTTAGATCCTAATAAACCTAATCTTTGATTCAAGTGGCCCCTTGGGCTCAGACAACACTGGATATAGTCCTTCTGTCTCTTCTAGGGGTGAGGGTACTACCCCTCGGGCTCACCCAAAGCTAGTATTAGCTCTCCAGCTTCTGGGGGTCCTCACATGGCTAGACTGCATGGCCAACTAGCATAGCTCCTTGGCCTCACTGAAGTCTAGAAATAGTATGTTAGGCCTTGGGATGATTCCCTCTGCTTGTTTGCCAACTTTACCTGCCAGTCTGTAAAGTGCAATCCTAGAAGCTCAAGACAGTTCTTTAGTCTCCACTTTAGCTCCTTCTTGATCTGTGAAGGAGGGGTCACTCTCTTCTTGATTTTAAGGCTGAACCCATTCTGGTTCCTCAGAAGCTGAGCATAGGCAAAACCAGGACTTTGCTTCATACACATGGTGCAACTCAGTCATGGTTTTTCTCAGCCAGAAACATAGTGTGGACCTCCTGATCCCCTGAGGAGAAAGAATTAGACTCAAGGGGACCTGAAGAACATACACAGGAAAAAGGAATCAGATTTTTCCTTGTAGTCATAAAAATCAAAGACATTTCTCAGAGTTCACCCACTAGTAGGGCCTTCAGGTAGAGGCTCCTTAGCCTGGTAGCTCTGAAGTAGGTGGGCTTAGATGGAAATTTCACAGGCCCTGCACAGTATGTAATAGTAGTGCAGTCGCATGGGGATGACCACATCTGACCACTAACTCCTCAAGGGAGAATCATTCCCATCAACAACATCCATAGTGAAAAGCTGATTTCCATGAGGTCAAACTTGGCCCCCACACTCCTGCACCTACTTCTACCAATTCTGACACCAATCATCCATCCCAGAGTTCTGACCACTCCTACTAGATCTGCAATCCATTGCAATGGTCACACAGATTTCACAGGATCATACTCACAGGGGGTTTGTTAGGGAAATTAACAGTTATGATTCAGGTTGGAAACAGGATGCAAAATCTTCAGTCAGGACAGCTTCTCAGGCATGATCAAATCTCCTTCAACTGTCAGCATTTTGGCTTTTGGTCAATATTAACAGAGATGTCATGTTAAATGCCATAGAGATGGAACCGATTCATAGCTCAGAATTGACCCTCCAGTGGATTTTCAGAGGCTGTAAATCACACAGGAAGAGATTGCCTATCTTTCTCCCTCAGAGAAGCTGGTTGATTCAAACCATCTGCTTTTGGATTGGCAGCATAAGTCTTTAGCCATGCCCAGAGCTCCTTTCAAAGTCCTCTTAGTTCTACCAATTACGCTGTTCCTCATGCAGTCCTCCAGCAAGCTTTGGTGAAGGTCTCTGGCTTTGGCTCTGTAGGCAGCAATCCCAAGTTAGTTCTGTTTTATGTTGGTCTCAGGCTCTCAGCTGTGTCTGCTGCTCCTTTTCTATAAATCCTGGTGTGACTGCATAGGAATCTGACTGTGAAGGACAATGCACGGTGTCCTCTACTTCTTTGAGAGTCCTAATTTCTGCTGCTGAACTTGCTCAATTTAAACCTAGTGGGATTCTCACACAGCTCTTATTGTTAAGTGCTGTAGTTTTGAGCACGACTTACCGTGACTCCATGAACAGCAGATCTTGAACCCTGTCCTATCCTGTGCCATTCTCATGTAATTTTTTTATCAAATTTCTTAGATCATTTTTAAATGCCTGATTGTCTCCCTAACTAGGATACAAATTCTGTAAGACAAAAAAAAAGAAAAAAAAATTCTGTAAGACAGAAACCATGGTTATTTATATTTTTGCCAGGGTCATTCATAGCGAGCTCTGATGGCAGAGTCCATAGGAAGTGCTTCTTTGGAAGCTTGAATCCACCAGTGTCTCGTCCAGAGAAAGTTGTGCAATCTTCTCCCATGTGATTTATAGCCTTGAAAACCTGCTGGAAAATCATCTATGAGTTAGTTTCAACTCCATCTCAATGACTTTTGAGATTCATAGTAGGTCCGTCTACTACTACTGTGAATGTAGCAACTGACTAGCTGCAGAAGAAGAATGGGCAATCTCCTCCATGTAAAAACCTGCTGGAGGGTCAACCAGCTCTCAGTAGGTTGGGACTTGAAGGCCAACAACCACAGAACTGACTGTTGAGAATAAACAATTGGGCTCTAGGGGTTTTGGTGTGGTGGTGGTTTGGTTTGGGGGTGGGGGAAGGTTTCTGACTTCCTTCCCTTTCTCTCACAAACAGAATTCAATGTCTGGTCGACCGAGACCTGAAATTGATATGAGTAGGTTTACTGGATCTTGAGGAAGAATCAGGCCACTTAGGGCAGAGAAGGGAATGGGAATGTTGCTGAGGCAAACACATTTTGGAAGCTGGGGTAGGGAGGGCTACAAGTGGCATTATCCAGAGCTCCCTGGTTCCCCAAGAGGAAGATGAAGAGTGAGAAAGGCCTGAACTGGTGAGGTATTAGAGGAAGAGAAGTAGGAGACAGAATTTGGTGAGAATTGTGTAGTGAGGTTAATCGGTGTTGAACATGGACATCAGAAAACCTGTTCTAAGGCAGTTTCACATTCTGCAGATGCCCCAGGATTTAGTTCACATCAACCTGGTTGATCAGAAAAAGGAGAGTTGGCAGAAATATCTCTAGATAATCAGATACTAAGAGAGCTGCTCCAAACTAAAAAACCTGGGGGGGGGGGAACTCAAACACTTCATCCTTTGCTATGAAGTCATTTCTGACTCATAGTGACTCTATATGAAAGAGTTGAGTATGAAACACAGAGTACGAACAACAGATCTGAACCTACCCTGTCCCAATCTCATCATCCTGACACTTTTGAGCCCATTGCTATACTCATTGTGTCAATCCATCTGGTTGTGGGTCTCTCTTCCTCCCTTTCACTGACCCTATAAAAAGAGAAGAACTCCTCAGTTTCCAAGGCTTTCGTGGTGGAGTCTGGGGAACTGCGCTGTTAACACAAAGGCTAAGGTTTTGACATGATAGCAACAAGTCTGAGTTTTTGTTTTCATCTTCACAAGGTCTATTTCCCACAAAATCAGATTTAAACAGCCCCCCTTTCCCTTGGCAACTCAGCCTCAAAGCCCCGGGTTCTTTCCTTGGAAAGGCCCTTGTTAAAGCTCTTCTTGAGCACAGGCTCCCCCTTGTGGTTACTCCTGTCACTGCCAACTCCACCAATTACACAAAAATACACACTTCGCTGAGTTTTTTGTTAAAGGTTGAAATTTCCAGACGTCGTAAACCAAGGTTCTCTGAGAACAAGAGAGAAAGCGAAAGAAGAGGAGGTTAGGGGGGAAGTCAAGGGATAGAATCCTGAGGACAAGAAGGGGCCCTTGAATTGTACCAGAAGAAAGTGATCTTGAGCTCCAGGACTTTCTGCACGTTGGAATTCTGTGCATAAGCCAGGCCTGACCTGTACACCTTTGTCTGAGGAGGAATTTAGGAGCACAGAAAAATTTTCTAGTAGTGTACAGTGCAGCCACATTTTCCATAAATTTGAAATACAGAACTAAACATTGGACCTTATTAAAAATTAATGGAGTTTCACTTTATTGATAAAATGTGAAATGGAACTGAGTCCTCCCCAAATGAAAATTTGGTCAAGAATATCAATTTCAGGGAGTTCTGGTGGCCTAGTGGCAAGAAGCTGTGCTGCAATCCCGAAGATGTACCATTTGAGTCCAGCAGATGCTCTGCTGGAGAAAGAGGGACAATCTCCTCCTGTGTAAGTCAGATCCCATTGGACAGTACACAACATGGGGGGGGGAATCTCAATTTCAAAGATAGTGGGCCATGTGACTTGCAAATTATACTATCACTGTATGGATTCCATATCTGCTGGTAAACAAAAATACAGGTGGGACCTGACTGAGTCAAGCTGTGAGGTTAGGGCTGAGTGTAGGCTTCTATGTGTTTACCTTTAATGACTTGAACTCTGGTATACCCCTCCATCTTCTTTTTCCTTAATGATCATCTCCTTTTTTTGTATATTGCCTTTTGTTTTACTCAATTTCACATATATCTCTGTTCCTAGATTTTCCTTCCTTTCCTCTCACATTCCTAGTAAC